TTATAACAGTCCCTGGATATACTGAGGTAAGTATAGACGAAGACTAGGCATTGGTTATTGAATATATAGCTTCTTATAATTATACATGTATTTTAAGTTAACTAAGATATATTTATGGAAAGAAAATAACATTTAAAATAGGCATTATATTACCCAAGATAAAACTTTTACTGCCAAGGAATGTGAAGTGTGAATCATAAAGATAGCTGTGGAAATAAATAAAGAAAATATATATTTTCCCATTGTTTATCATTATTTTGAGATTTTATTCAGAATCCTTTTGAAAATTTGTTATTCATTTTGTTGCATGTAGACATTTGGTATATCCATGAAATGTTTTGTGTTTTAGTTTTGAAGATTTCTGTGCAGCATACACTAAAAGTTGGTGGGACAAAAAAGGGGCCACATCACATAAGAGTCCCCCAGCCCCGGCCCCGGCCCCTCATCCTAGCATGACTAGTGTACACATTCCAAATGGCTCCGCCAGTAACAAGCCTGTCCCGCTGGCCCAGGAAGTCAAGAAAAAGAAACGAGAGGGGCCACTAACTGAACATGAGGCTGCGTGCAGTATACAGAAAGCTTGGAGAAGACACATAGTGAGTATTGGGAACTAATACAAAAATTGTGAAAAAAGTGATTTAAAAACACTTAAACTGAGGTACATTGCTGTAGATTTGCTTTAATAGCTAAAGGATATCAAATCTCAAAAGGTTCGCTATGTTGCGCATGTGCGCAAGTGTCTCGATTCAATGGCCCCGTATCTCAAAATAGAATCGGTTATGGAATCGAGACACTAACGCACGTGCGCAACATAGCGAACCTTTCGAGATACGGAGCCCTGATCAACTTTAACCCTAACCCTTACCTTTAAAAGAACAATATTTCCCTAACATTACTTTGGTTCCTTCAGGACATCCAAGTCTATAACTACTACAGGGATCTGATCAACTTTAAGTGTAGAGGAGACCCGTCACTAATGCTGAAATGTATCAACCCCAATGAAGCTAAACTACTGGACCCAGCATCAGGGGTACACATCAAGTTTAGACTAGCTGGGGTGAGTTAGCTGGCTATTGACCTTGTCCTGATAATAAAGTAGTTTGTTTAAGATGATACACAAATATAGGAGTAGTCAGCTAATAGTGAAGAACTCACATGGTTACACCAGCAAGTGAGTGAAAAATGAAGTGGAATTATAAATCTTTAATTTTACAAAATAAAAGAAAATGCTTCAAAATTATTTTATTTATTTAAGACAAAGAGAGATATATTTTTCCCTACTTAAACTCAAAATAACAGAGAAAGAGTTGGCAAAGGACAAATAATTGTTTTCTATTTCTTGCAACAGTCAACTACTGGTTAATTTAATTTGTCTGCCTTCATTTTTGGAGAAATGCCTGTTATATTTAAATCCTACTTTTTTAGACAATTTTTCATTATTGTCATGGACCTATATCTAGATATACTTCCATGATTATTACCAAGCCTTAAGATCAAGGGCATCATATTAATAATAATAATAATATTAACTTTTCAGGAGAGATTTCCCCCCAATATTTACTATAAAATCTTCACCCATCGCCCAGTGGTGGACCTGTGTGCCTGCAGTCCCAAGGACTACACTAAGGCTGGCGCCAAACAGAAACTGCCCAGAGATATACATAACAAGGTGGACAGAACAGCACCTGATGATAGATTTGGTATGTTTCTTAAACTTTCTCCCTTTCTCCCTTTCTTCTTATTATTTATATTTACAGATTTAAAAAATCCTGTTGATTATATACAAATGTATAGATAATTAGCTGTTCTTATTTTGAAATAATCCCATGCATTCAGAGACATGACATTGCTAGAAAGAAGTAAAATGAGAAGATTTACTGTGATTGTTATTATAAACACATTGAGATTTAAGACAGCTGACTTAAAACTGGAAGATTTCACTGTACTCAGTTTTCCTATTTCCCTGGCAGATCAAGATGGCTGGTATCAGAGAATAGAGAACAATGGCTGGCGTCTGGTGTCAGATAGACTTATCACACATGCACTGAATGACCCTGTTACCTGGGCAACCACCAATAAGAAGGTTGAATTCCACCACAATAAGGTAAACCTCCTCTTTGACATAGACATGAATGAAAATGAATTCAAGATTAACAGATTATTGATGATGAATGCTGTATAGTTACATTAAAAACAATGTATAGAGAATGTGTCAATAACAGAACACTTATAGATTATGTTTCATCTCAATGAGTTTAATTTTTTGTTAAAATAGAATAGGCTGAATTTTCACCATGTGTCTGCAAATTTGAAAAAAAAA